TATGTAAAGTTAATGTGATAAGGTGACAACATGTAAAAGTAACATGTGATCATTTCAAATGCAATTCCACTGTGAGAGTTAGATTTTCACATCTCCAATTCACATGTGAAGTGAAAACGTTATTCTCCTTGCATGTGAAAAGGTGGTGTTAACATGTGAACTAAAAATGTAATACAATTTAATACATTTGAACATATGGTTTCACGTGATCAACTGACCTTATGTGTCTCTTTTTGTGGCTTTTTGGCTTTGTTTGTTATACTCAACATGTGAAATCAGTCATTGACACAGACATGGAGGCATAGCAGGAAGATCGGAATGCCGTGAACCAATGTTCCCTCCAAAAAAAATTGGGGCACTGAGCAAATTTTTCTGTCTAGTGAGCAGAAACTTAAATGTTGTGAGAACTTTGTGCAACTTCCGCCGCATGTTTACAGTGAACACTGAGGCTGTACCCTTACAGTTTTAGACAGTAGCTAATAGGCTATTGTAGCATAATGTACATAATAATATACCATTTAGCAGACGCTTTTATCCAAAGCGACTTAGAGTCATGTGCGCATACATTTTTACATATGGGTGGTCCCGGGGATCGAACCCACTACCCTGGCGTTACAAGTGCCATGCTCTACCAATTGAGCTACAGAGGACCACAATGTAGGCCTACATGTAGGCCTACCAACAAAACCAATGGAGCAAATCCCTATATGCAGTGTTCAATGCAGGCCTACATTGCATGAGACCTTTTACATTATGAAGGGCTTGACATTAATTAATGATTTTTTTACTTGGTCTGTAACACCATGGGCCAAATAGGTTACTGTAAATTGCATTGTATTGTGTTGCATGATGCAAGAAACCACTTAGCGAAATACAATTAATTATTATTACCATATAGAGAATTAGACAATGTAGGCTACCCCACTTCCTATTGGCTTTTTTGCATATTCAAGCCTGTCTCAAAAAACAACACTGCCCCTTTAATTAAGACATAAGCTTTTTACCTGACTGGCTTTTCAAAGACAGCTTGAAATGTAGCATACACATTTTGTGCTCTTGTAGGAAGCAGTAACTCCCTATTGCTGACCTATAATTATCTATAACTGGGCTAATAACTCACTAACTAGCAAAGAATATGAACAAATGTGCACACGCGCGGGCCTGCGCTCTGATCTGTACTGATCTGAAAAGCGCTCTGGCTCTGCCTACAACAAAATCACAGACTCAATCTTGCAAAGTTAGATTTATTTTGGTTTGTTGCATTGAAAAGGGGCTGATACAATGTTGTTTAGATCATAGAAAACTCAGTGAAGTTAAATCTCTTGCAGCTCTGTGCTGCCTGGCATTTCTTATGTGGGGCAGTCCTGGAGGAGATGCACGGCCGTGCATGCGCGCAGTTTAGAGGGAACATTGCACTGAACCAAGAGGTTGTGAGTTCAAATCCCAGGTGAAGACATGTTGAATAATAAATAATGTATAAATAAACATACACAATGTAATGATGTATATTAAAGTGTGTCAAATATGTAAGTTGAAAACACTTGTTTGTTAAAAGCACTGTTTGAGTGTGTTTCTTAACTACTCATTTTTGTTTGCAGGACATCACCTGTGAAATCGCATGTGAAAAATATTCACGAGTGAAAATTAGAGATCCACATGTAACAGATTAGGTGATCACGTGAAAATCCACATGTGAAACTTCATTTGAAATCTCATCACATGTGAAGTGTTCCAAAAACATGGTTTCACATAATTTCACGTGTGGAATTTTACATGTAAAATCGTGAGGGTTAGTATATAATGTTATGGTAGTGTGGTACTATTAGACATTATCTGTCCTTGCACCTCCCTCCCCCACCTACTCAACAGACACAATCAACACTGCCAAATATGTGACAGATTACTTTCTCTGGCACACACACACACACACACACACACACACATTCTCTTTTCCACATTCATCATGCCCACTCTCAACTCTTTTCCACATTCATCATACCCACTCTCAACGTAGACAAAGGGAGGCTCAACGAATTGTTGAATCCCCTCCCACACAAACACACCCACACCTGCTCTCAATTTTTACCATAGAGAAAGATGTAGAGGATCTACAGACCAAATCACCAAATCACCAAATCCCTTCAGAAAGTATCCCTTCTCCAGTCCAGAGGTAGAGAAGAGTAACAGTAACAGACATGTTAGAGTTTCGTATCATGTTCAGCTCCTCATCAGACTATAGATTTTGGGTCCATTCCATTACTAATTCATGTTAAGGGTGGACCCTCCCTCTCCCTGAAGGAAACCTGATCGAGATCAATAGGAATGACCTTTGGCTGGGCTGGTCTGGTGACCTTGGGCTGGGCTGGTCTGGGCTCTATTCAGCAGGGTGTAATGTCACACATCATTACACAACATTCAGATAGAAATGTATTGTTTAGAACAGACATGATTATCTGTCAGGTAAATAGGGGGATCATGTTAGCTCTATTCATTACATTTCTATCTGCTTGCAATGGTCTGAATGTTTCACCTCACTGAATACACCCCAGTAGGGAATCCTGATGGATCTCTCCAGGCTTCAGTTTTATTAAGGGCTGGATTCAATCCGTATTACAAGAAGTATAGAGGAAGATCCGCATTATTGCTCGATTGAAATTTAAAGGCAATTTTCCCCTGTTTGCGGAGACTGCATTCACGGTAAATGCTGCATATGTCCCTAAGGCCGGGATTCAATCCGAAACAGCACTATAGTGCGTTCGACATTTCAAGGTCATTTCCAATTGAGCCGACATCTGCAGTGTTTACCTTGAATACGATCTCCGCAAACTTTAACAGCCGCATTGTCTCCAAGCACGATCGGATTGATTCCTGGCCTAAAGCTTTATTACGCAAGCAAATACGTGAAGAAATAGATAACCAAACCAGGGGTATGTAGTTGATGTATTTTATTGTGAGATGGGGAGTCATAAAAAAAAAAAAAAAAAAAAGATCACTATAAAAATTATCATGGATTAAAACAAGGACATATAAAAGAGGTCGTGGCCTTGACGTAGTATATGTACAAAGTAACAAATTGGCACAAATAAAACACAAAAAATTTCAATATTATTTTGGCTTGGCAAAAGGACAGGTTCATGGTTAAGGATCATCCTTCAATACAACAGCACACTCATGCTATTAGACATACAGTTAGTTCTTAAAGAGTTTCAGTAGCTTCATATTAAAATGGGAAAAAGGTTCAAATTAACATGAGAATGAATGGATTTAGAAAGGTAACATGTTCCAATTTCAGGCTTGTGGGGTGTGTTGACAACTTTATATAGTAATATCATTTATTTTTGTTCTAAAACATACTTCAAAATGCCAGAGCTTTTTTTATTTCCCACCTTTGTTGTAGTCAGTTTACCTTTGAAATGATTTTCATACTAAAATATATTATTGTATTAATACAAACTACAGTATTGTACACTACATTGTGTAATAAATAACCATAAAGAAATATAAAAAAAAAGACATAAATATAACATGTTTCTATAACTAAACAGATAACCCATATCATTGGGAATGGGAAAAATACTGCCTTTGCTGAAAACATATAGTACACACATTTTAACATAAAACAATCCAACAACAAAACAACCAACAACAAAATAATACTGACAGGTAAAAAATATTGTCTGAATAACCATTCTGGGATCATATTTGCCTACTTTTGTTACCTGAAGAGAGCACGAGCGTTTCACAAGTGTTAAACAAGTGCACTGGAACTGGACTGGGGAAAATTATACATTTCAAGGCAGGAAATACTTCAAAATCATGTTTCATCGTTCCGTTAAAACATGTGCATTGTAAGTCATTTTAGTCATTGATTGCTCTGATTATAAAAGAGGCAGATCTTTTATCTCAAATATATAATTCATGTCTAAATTATAATTCACGGTAACGCTATAATCTACATCAGGACTAGTGGTAGTGAGCCAAAATCAACAGTATCGGCTGAAAGAGTTGACATGTTTGAGCTGCTATCAAATCTGGGCCTCGAAACAACCTGACAACAGCTGCTAAGGAAAAACAGCAGTATTCAATGGCACTTTTGATATGCATCATGTCTTTTGGTTTTGCATAAGGCTGGGAGTGGGAATAGGATTCAGGGGGTCAAATGATCTCACAAACGTTCTTCTTTCTTCTTCTGCTTGATCTGATTCTGTACATGTAACACTGTTGATAACAGATTGATGAAATGAACAGACGAACATACAAACAAACCATTTAGAACAAAGTAGCAATGCAAACTCCTTCCATACTCCCCTTGTCTTCTTCATCTATAAGGTAATCAACTACTGGAACATCATCATGGATGAACTCATCTCACAATAGTTTTCTTCTTTAAGGCTCACAATCCATGTACAACAAAAGGTATGCTAACATAATCAGCTAACGTGCTGATGATGTATACTGTAAGTCTAGTGCCATAACACTGAAGGGTAGACAACACAACTGTTAGTGCCATAAGTAAACCAAGCCACTTGTAGTGCACAGGATATTTTTTCCTCCAACTTAATAAAATACTGATTTTTTTGTTCATTGGCAATAAAAAGGTATAGAAATCTTTCCCTACTGTACAGGTTTTTAAAGGTTAAAATATGAGGGATAAAATTAGTAACACTGATAAAAAGAAATGACCCAAAATTGTTTTAGTAATAAAACATGATCTAAAACGTGTCGGCTCTAGCTTCCAAAGTCCGTATAATGCATTTTTTGTCGTTAAACTTTGTGTTTTAGTTTTTTACAAATTAATTTTCTAACACTGAAAATGTTTCTCCTCCTGTGGAAAAAGCCACTAGTATTTTTTCAGGCACACCTGGATTCATACACAGTAGTGAACTGAAATGCAGCGTCCAAACTTTAGCTCTCTCTCCTCTCCCCCAATGTCATGGGGAGAAAAAGGATCCTTCCATTTCATAGAGGAAGAAGCACAGGTCTGGTTCCTTCCTGTTTTAATTTGTATCTCCTTTCTCTCCTGTCGGTGTCTGGTTCTCGTCTTCTGAAACAGTGTTCCTGTTTGTTTCACCTTCATTCTCTTTCATGACCTCACTTTCCTCCGCCTCCCTCTCCCCTGACTCTTCCTTGTCCTCCGAGGTCACTCCTTTCTCTGTGTCTATTGTCTCCTCCTCCTCCACCTGCTTATCAGCATGCTCCTCCTCCACCTGCCTCTCAGCCTGCTCCTCCTCCACCTGCCTCTCAGCCTGCTCCTCCTCCACCTGCCTCTCAGCCTGCTCCTCCTCCATCTGCCTCTCAGTCTCCTCCTCCTCCACCTGCCTCTCAGCCTGCTCCTCCTCCACCTGCCTCTCAGCCTGCTCCTCCTCCACCTGCCTCTCAGTCTCCTCCTCCTCCTCCATCTGCCTCTCAGTCTCCTCCTCCTCCACCTGCCTCTCAGTCTCCTCCTCCTCCACCTGCCTCTCAGCCTGCTCCTCCTCCACCTGCTTCTCAGCCTGCTCCTCCTCCACCTGCCTCTCAGCCTCCTCCTCCTCCACCTGCTTCTCAGCCTGCTCCTCCTCCACCTGCCTCTCAGCCTGCTCCTCCTCCACCTGCTTCTCAGCCTGCTCCTCCTCCACCTGCCTCTCAGTCTCCTCCTCCTCCACCTGCTTCTCAGCCTGCTCCTCCTCCACCTGCTTCTCAGCCTGTTCCTCCTCTTTCTCCCTGTTCTCCTGTACCTCCTCTTGCCTTGTGTCTGCCTTTTCCCTTGTAACCTCCTCTTCCTCCTGCTCCTCCTTTACTTCAACCCCCACTACTCCCTCCTCTTCCTCTTCTTCTCCTTCCTCCCCTTCACCCCCTACCACTACTCTCTCCACTCCCTGCTCTTCCTCATTATCTCCCTCCTCTTGACCAGTGTCTTCTTCCCTCTCCCCCTCCTCCTCTTCCTCCTCCTCTTCCTCCTCGTTCCCTCCCTCGTCTCCTATCCGCACCACCTGTATATCATCCATATCCAGAACTCTGTCCGGATCTCCCTCATCCTCCTCCCCTGCTGCTGTCTCCATGTCCTCCTCCTCTCCCTCCTCCTCGCTCTCCTCCTCGTCCTCCCTGGTGCTGCTCCCTCGCTCGTCAGAGTCCAGGTGGGAGGAGGTGGGCCTGCTGTCTGACTGCTCCTGCTGCTCCCCTCCCAGGCCCAGGGCCAACCCCACAGGACTCTCCATCTCCTCCTCCAGCACCTCCTCCCCTATACCTCCCTGACCTCCTTCCTGCGCCTCTTTCTTGCAATAGGAGTAACGGTGGTTCATGTGCTGGGAGTAGGAGCCCGAGTGAGAGAAGCGCTTGCCACACTTGTCGCACTGGTAGGGTTTCTCTCCGGAGTGGAGACGCATGTGTTCTATCAAGTGGTGCTTGTGTTTGAAGGCCTTCCTGCAGATGCCGCACTCGTGGGGACGCTTGCCTGTAGCACAGGAGAAAATAAATATACAGTAAATAAAAATGTATATGAGGCAGAGTGATAAAACATTCAGGGTCGGGTTATTTATTGAGTGAAATCACAGAGTAACACTGATGGGCTTGTAACAGGGGTTGCACCCTCCTTGAAAAATACAAGTTAAACTGTTGTAATTCCCCAGACTGTTGTGCTCGTGAAACGGTTTCGATTATTGTGCCAAAGGTCGGTGAAACCCATATTATTTATCATCACGTATCCATGGTAAATAAAGCAAACAACACAACACAAAACAGGACAAAGTGAAGTCACAGCAGGTATCAAAGTCATAAAGACAGAACGCCTCAGAGTGGGTTGACCTGTGCTTGGCCACAACACTACCCATGTTCTCATTTCAAATGACTAACAGAGCTCTGTTACAACATCTCTTCAACATTTCATACCGGAAGGTAATGTGGTTGGCAGGGGGAATTCTGGTGGAGTGTGTGTGTGTTTATTGGGTAATAGCTGCTGGAATAGTGGTGTCCTCCACCCTGTTGCAATATACACTGATGCAGTCAGTGTGTGATTTCTGAAATTTCCCCCTTCAGTTTCACTTTGCCTCATGTTTTCCTGAGGTCTCTCTGGGGAGGTGCAGTGAGGTTGATGTTCAGTAGGTACGAAATGGAAGAAAACGGTCTGAAATGGGGACATTTTATTTTTCAGTTGCAAAGCGATTCACTGCACGTTGCACCCTAAAGAACATGACCTAGGTTTGATTGATCTAGTCCCTGACGTACCCGTGTGTTCGTATTTATGTCGGAGCAGAGAGCTGCTCTTCTGGAAGATCTTGTCGCACAGGTCGCAGGCGTACATCCCGCTCTCAGTCTTCCTAATTTTCTTCCTGGAAGGGGCAGAGTCTGAGTCATTCAGCTCTTCCATGGTGGACACGCTCTCTGAGCTGGTGTCCTGACGCTCCTCCTGAAAAGCAAATATAAATACAAATATAATGTATTATGACAGATGTAATATGTGTGGATATATGTAATATAATGTTTACTGTTTTCGGAAGGGATTTGGTGGAGGTGTTTTTTGGTTTGTCATTCTGTTTCCCAAGGAAAATAGCGTGTCATGAAGTGCTGGTGTAGGCTGACTAATACCACCTTCTTTCTATAGCTGTCAAGGTACTATAACCTCATCAGAACCAAACTGCTAGTAACAATTTTTATTAGCTGAGTGAAAAAGACCATCACGATGATATCATCTCACCTTGGAGTGTTGACCCTGAAAACCAGTCATCACCATCATCATGACTCATCAATGGTGAGTAAAAAACCTTCAGAAAACACCCTTTACTGCGTCCATTCCTTCCTGGGTGTAGGCTGCATATGGATGCGTCCCAAATGGCACCCTATTCCCTTTATAGTGCACTACTTTTGACCAGGGCCCATATTGAGCCGGGACGATACCAGTGTCACGATCATTTTTCCATGGCAACAATGAAAACACGAAGCGGACCACCTCTTTGGTCCTTTAAAAACCTGCTGTATGTAAAATATTGTGTGCTATAGCTTGGAAAATAAATACATGTGACTCTGGATGACGACATAATGATGTTTGTTTCCAACATTAGGGCTGTTTTCCTAAAGAAGTTACATTCGCTAAGTGTTTTGTTTCTTTGCCACAATACTAACGAGTATCGCGAAACTGCTATCGTCAGAACCCTAATAGAGAGAATAAGGTGCCATTCTACAACTGAGTATTCAACACTGAGACACAGAGAGAGAGGAAGTGCAGCGCGGTAGCATCAGCATCGTTAAGGAACTGATATATAATACCTATACGTACAGTGAGGGTTTTTAACAAGGCATGCCTTATCCCAGTCCACTTAACAGGAAAGCATAATACAACAACAAAAAATCAATGGTGAGACAGGAGGCTGGGCCTTTAAACAGATTCCTACTGATCAATAGGTCTCTACAGTAAGTGCTGCCTCATGCCTTCTGGCTGGGTGACAGACAGCAGCAGCTCAGTGCTGGGCTGGGGGAGTGATGGCATTTCTATCCATCATTATGGCTCATTTAGTGTCCTGGCTCTTACTTCTAATACTGCTGCATTAGAGTTTTTTGGCAGAATTCAGAATGGCACTTTCTGTATATAATGTATCTGGGATTTTTCCTCTGTTGTATATCTGCATGTTCGACATTTTAAAAACATTTTGACACTAATACTTTTAGTCATTTCACATTTTGAACATTCACAAAATCATGAGCTGCAATAAATGTGTTGGCAGTACACTATAGCTTGAAACCCCACTTGATTTTCTTCCACCTCTCTCTCTGTCTTTCACCCAAGAGCGAGGGAAGAGAGGAGCGCTAGATCTCCTCCCTTGAGTCCTCCTGTCCACCTTTAACCCTCCTCCTCCCAGCGTTGAAACTAAACAGTTCATCACAAGAGACACAGACAGCGGTGCCAAAATACCACCGCCTCCACCCAGAGCTACAGGAGAGAAACTCATTCAGCTGAGACTGAGGGGAGTTCCCATTTCTCCAGCTCAATAGGTGGAGCTTAACCTTCTCATTATGGCTTAACTGCAGTGGGCCAGATCCAAGAGAACTGAAGCACTAAAGGGGCTATAGATGCTGAAGTGTTGAGGATGGGATCTGTCCTAGGCCTTGTTGTTTTACTCAAAGCAGATGAGACACAGGTAGAATGAGATATAGGATGAATGATTATACTGAGAACTTCCTATTCTTCCCGTACCTCCTCCCTCACTAAACATGAGCCAAGTCAGTCAGAGAGGAAAAAACAGCAACATACCAGAGGAGAGACTCAGCAAGAAAACATGATTCTCAGTAATGCACATGCAATACCAATCATGCTAGACTGTTTTCATGTAATTTCTCTCTATCCGGCAAACAAATTCCTATAGTACACTCTTAGAAAAAAAGGTGCTATGTAGAACCTAAAAGGGTTCTTCGGCTGTCCCCATAGGAGAACCCTTCGAAGAACCCGTTTTGGTTCCAGGTAGGACCCTTTTGGTTCCAGGTAGAACCCTTTTGAGTTCCATGGAACCCAAAAGAGTTCTACCAAAAGAGTTCTACCCGGAACCAAAAAGGGTTCTCTTATGGGGACAGCCGAAGTGACCTTTTGGAACCCTTTTTTCTAAGAGTGTACTCCAATCCAGAAATCCACATAGTTAAGGCCATACACACACAGCAGATGCTTTTCTTGCAATTGACTTGAAAAGAGCATCTGCTAGGCCTTTGTTAATTACTAAAATGTAAATGTAAACTGTGCTGTTGCTTTGTCCTTGGGGGTCCAGGCTGGGTTCACCGGAGGCTGGTGAGGGGAGGACAGCTCATAACAATGGCTGGAATGGAGTAAACGGAACGGTATCAAGCACATGGAAACGCTGTGTTTGATAAGTAAAGTAAGTAAGTAGCCTTGCACGAGCCTTGGCTTGTGCGAGCCAGAATGGCTCATAGGAGCAAGAGCCTATCTCCTGTTTCTGTAACGTGAGGCTGTGTTTGATACCGTTCCAATTATTCCATTCCAGCCTATTTGAGCCCATCCTCCCCAATTAAGGTGCCACCAGCCGCCTGTGGCTGGGTTACTGAAAAGCATATTGTGACAACTGTTGCTGTGAAAAAGGGCTATATAAGTACATTTGATTGATTGATTAACCAACCTTGATGCCGTTGATCTGCAGTGTGGTCTTCTCCTGTGTCTCTGTCCCTGCAGGGCTGCTGGCTGTAGCTGTAGTGGTATAGGTGTAGGCCAGCTGTGGGATGAGGATAGTCTGGTTGTTACTGGTGGTAACCGCCCGGAGACAGGGCATGCCTGCACGGCCCTGGTCAGTGATGGCATAAATGGTCCCGCTGGGCAGCTGAGTGGTCATGATACTGATGGGGTTGGCACTTTGTGGGCTGGCGGTGTACAGGGACACAGGTTGGCTAGTCACCTGGTGGCCGGCGATCAGAAGTTCTTTCTTGGTTGTGCAAGTCTTCGTCAAGTTCAGGGGTTCGTCCTGATGGGAGTAAACAGTGGCGTGGTAGGTGGCGGCGGCTGCGGCCTCCTCTCGGGTGGGCTTTGGTAGAGACAGGTCCAGAGGGCCATCAGTGCTGTCCGATGAGGAGGGTTTGGCTGGGACGGGCCCCCCGGCAGTCAGGTTTAGTGGTGTGGGGGAGGCCGGGGAGCGCATGGAGCCGTTAACCTCAGCCGGAGTGGCCTCGGCTGGGCTGGACTGCATCATGGTGGGACCCTCTGTGTTCTGCTCTGGTCTTACCTTAGGGGACACAACTGTGGCCCCAGGACTCTCAGACAAGGGTCCCTCTTCCTCAGACGGAGGGGTCGGAGCCCCTAGTGAGACCTGACTTATCTGCATCTTGTCGAACCACTTCTTGACCACGTCGGTGGGCAGGCTGACTGAGTCTGAGATCTTGCTGACCTCCTCCTTGGTGGGCTCAGCGTTTAAGGCGAAGTAGGCCTTAAGGAGGGACAGGAGGTTCTTGGGCTGGTTCCCGACCCCCTCGGACAGTACCGACTCTGATTTGTCCCCATTGATCCTGAGGCCTGAGGCTTTCTTACAGTGCTCGAGTGCGTGGAACGAGTCCAGACCGCCGGGGCAGTTGTCACAGAGCAGGCAGGTCTTAGTGGTCTCCTCTCCCTCCCCATCCCCCTCCCCCTCCCCCCCCTCCTCCTCGTTTTCCTCTTCCATCTTCTCTTCTTTGCTCCTGGGGGGCCTGTTGAGTGTCAGGTCCTCTGGGAGTCTCTGCTGGGCCTTGCTGCAGGGCTCTATGGCAGCCTCGGCCTGGGGCTGAGCCCGGGGCTGGCCTGGCATTGTAGGCAGGGTCTGAGGTTCCTTCTTCTGGTTCTGGGCAGTAAGCTGGGTCTGGCTGGGGTCCAGGCTGTAGTTGATGATGATCTTGGTGGCGTTGCCGTCCTGGCCGATGATGGGCAGACTGATGGCTGAGATGAGCTGCTGGTGAGGAACACCCGTCGCCCCTGTGCCGGTCCCTGCTGCCTTGGTGTTGTTCTCCAACATCTGTCTGATCATGTTCCCGTCCACTGCCACCTTCAAGATAAAGATGATAATGGTTTGTTCATTGTTCAACAAATCATTGTACAAATAGCAACAAGCAGCTCATTACAAGTAATTCATGAATTGTAAATTGTATTTGAACTGATGATGCAGACAATTACATTGATGGAAGCTACAATCTATGTGCAATATTAAAGCTGATCTACCCCCTAAAAAAAGTTGCATTTGAACTACAATGAAATGATTAAATACGGAGTACTATTTAGTCCTATTACAAGTTTACAAATCACCTTCAAGATGTTCTGCAGGTCTGCCAGGTTGATGCTGATAGGAGATACCAGACCCATGGTGGGGAGCATCACTGCCTGCACTGCACCCTGCAGGGGGGCTGCCGCACCCCCGTTTAACACCCCTCCTCCATGACCGTTCACTCCCGTCGTTGCTGGAGTCACCGCCATGGCCTTGTACTCATAGTCCACTGGCTCACTCTTGATCTGATTGAGGGGTAGTTGCTCCTGGAAGGGTTTGTCCCAGATCTGTGTGGAGGAGGGTGAGGCGGGCATGGCTGGGGACGGGCATTGGGAGGCCTTGGCGCCGGGCCGGGGGCGGCCGTTGACTGCTGAGATCACGCTGATGCACTTCTTACTGCTGATGTGGGAACTGTAGGAGCCCGAGTGGGAGAAACGCTTCTTACAGTTGGAGCACTCGTATGGCTTCTCTCCTGTAGAGACAGACGGCCATTCACAGACACACACATGACCTCCATTAGGAACAGAGCTAAATGAATAAACCTCCCGGGGAAAAAGGGTCTAATGCATTTCAATGATGCTTAAAGGCTGAGGTAATGGCACCATTGGGAAATACTCTCTAGTTGTTGGCCAGAACCGCCAAAAGAAACACAATTATGTCACATTAGGATGCCGCACAATGCTCTGAAACACAATCAAGGACACATAAAAAGTTACTAAACATAAATATTTGTTTGATAGAGGCAGAAACATCTGTATGGATGGTGTGGCCAATAGAAACTCACTTCTACAATTACCCCAAACTTTTTTCCACATAATAAAACACACACGTGCACATACACACACACGTGCACACACACTCACACACTGAGGGGTCCACTCACCGCTGTGGATGCGTAGGTGCTCCTTCAGGTGGTGCTTGTACTTAAATGCTTTTTCACATTCGGTGCAGTTGAATTTTCGGTTGACCCCCGACTGCGTCACGTGCCTCTGTCAGACAAAGGGAGAGAGGGGGAGGGGGAGGGGATGGTCAGTTCACTTCAGTCACACACTCATGAAAACAGGCACTTTGTACTACTTTCAATTCATGAAACAACCACTTTAAACAATGGCTAAAAACAATGGTTAAATACCAGGATATTAAATTCATCATGGATGTGATCAACACTGAGCACATGCCATGTGCCTACTTAACCCACTTCCTGGGTTTTGGACACGAAGTTCACATCACATTACCTTTTATCTACACTCTTAGAAAAAGGGTTCCAAAAGGGTTCTTCGGCTGTCCCCATAGGAGAACCCTTTTTGGTTCCAGGTAGAACCTTCTGTAGAAAGGGTTGGACATGGAACACAGAATGGCACATGGCATGTGCTCAGTGTTGATCACATCCATGATGAATTTAATATCCTGGTATTTAACCATTGTTTTTAGCCAAAAAGGGTTCTTCAAAGGGTTCTCCTGTGGGGACAGCTGAAAAACCCATTTAGGTTCTAGATAGCACCTTTTTTTCTAAGAGTGTACACTGGTCAAAAAAATCCTGTTGTTTTTTCGGTAACATAATGGCAGCCAGTTACCTGTAAGTTACTGTAAAAAATTATGTTACCGTAAGTTTCTTTGGAATTTACGGTAACATACTGTACTTAAAAAAAAAAAAAAACATAACTTACAGGTAACTGGCTGCCAGTAAGTTACTGTAAAAACAACAGGTTTTTTTTAGTGTACAAAATCTTTACTACACACTACGCAGTGCTGTAGCTAGTAGTTGACAAACTATAAGTGTTATGTATAGGGTTGTGTCTATAGGTACCTGGTCTCTACCAGCTTTGTGGGCCGTCATGTGTCTCTCCAGCTGTGTGCGGTAGGCAAAAGTGTAGCTGCAGTGGGAGCAGCTGAAGTTGTCCTCGCTCTTCTCGTGGCGCAGCTTGATGTGCTCCTTCAGGGACGTGTAGCGCTTGTAGCCGCGTGAGCAGTAGGGACAGGTGAGGAGCTGGGAGAATGCATCCGGAGTGCCTGGTGGGGGGAGTAGAGAGACGGGGAGGGAGGGAGCATGAGAGTGTGTGTGGGTGTGGAGACGTCTGTAGACTAATCAGAGGGTCAGTAGAGAGTAAGGGTTATTTGATGTGGTTGATTGACAGACGCTGTTTCACCCATTTCACCCAGTACTGACCGATCCTCTGTTAAGACTCACAGAGGGTCTATAAACACTAACTACATGACAGATGCTGCAACATACTCTCACCTGCTGGCTGGATACTGTTGGTTATTCATTAGTAACATAACAAGTGTCACAACACTTCTGCTCTCGGAGTTGGAAATGTGCAATCAACAGCACTAGTTTACATGAGTAACATGATTAGTGTATGTGTCTTTAAAATATTGGAATTCAAGGCCTATATCTTTTTTTTTTTAAACACCCATTGGTTTCAAATGAATGCCCAGACGTTGGATAAAAGCCTGCTGGAAACACAGTAGAACACGGTAAGGAGACATAATGCACACCTAGCTCCAGTTCCACAGGGTTATTATGCTCCACTGGGTCCCACACAGGTAAAGTATTACCTGTTAACAGGTGATGTATTAAGCCTCCCTGCTGGCCAGGTGAACCTCTCAGGATGTGAACACACACAAATTATCTCTCTCTCACACACACATATACACACACACACACACATTATCACCCAGGTAGGTACTAGTGACTCATCACTCACACAGACGTGTTGCTGTTTGCTGTTTTTCCTCCTCTGGGGCTGACAGGTAGCAGCCAAAAGCCCTTAACCCATAAAGAGCCTAGTGTGTTTCCATTTACAGCAGCGAGAGAGTGTGTGTGTTAATGGGGGGGGGGTTAACACCTTTAGAGGAAGAGACGGAAGTCAGAACAACACAACAAGGTTTTGCCCGGAGGCATAAAACCTGCAGTCCCAGAGGTGGAGGTGTTGTGTGTAAAGTAGTGTAGTGTATTGTGTAGAGTCCACATTTGGGGGGTGGGGGTAGAAAAGTGTGAAGTATTTTTTTGTGCACTGCTCTGCTGTGCTTTATTCAGACCTGGGACACTATGTGTGTGAGTGGAATCCTCTGGCTAATCAGTTAAATTATGTATAAATCAATTAACAGTGAGAAAAGAAAACCAATACTTCGGTTCTGTACAGCGCCAAACAGTGGAGAGTAGATGAACAGGTGAGGTGTGTGTGTGTGAGGTGTACAGGTGGTGTGAGTGTCGTACGTACCGTTCTCGTCATGTCCGCTGGCCTCGGGGGTCCCCTGGCGTGGCTCGTCCTCCGGAGCTTCTGGGTAAATGACGGCTGTGTCTCCCTGCTGCAGCATCTCTTCCACCAGAGCATCTGTCCTGCCATCGTCCTCCCCATCTGAACCACACTCCTCCCTCACTGTAACACACAGAGACAGGCAACTGTTTACACAAGAACATGAGGAAATGACATCAAGGACCTCTCCATTGTTATAAAACATCACCATTGTAATACATCATCTTATCATGTTCCTTCTCTCTAAAAAATATGATGCTTAATTATAACTGTGACCTCCAACCAGATACACAGGTAAGTTAGTACATCTAATGCACCCACCAGAACCAACCAATCCCCATAGCTCCTAAAACCCCAGGCCTGGATCAACCTCTCTGGATAAGAAAGAACAACCTTCCCACTGTGGTGCCTAATATCCTAATACCCCAGTAAATTAGATCCGTTATCCGTTATCAGGGAGCATATTCTCTCCTCCGCATCACGTTAGCTGCCGTTGCCCCACTAATGAGGGCTAATTAAGGAGCTGTAGGGAGCAGCGTAACCTGAGGACACAGTTAGGAAACGTAAAAGCTTCCGTCTCTCTGCCTCACTTCCTGAAGCACGTTCAGGAACAGAGTACAGTGTGTAAGCAGTTAAAACAACACAGAAATAAACCTAGTATCATTACTATTATTAGTAGTAGTATTAAACCCTTAGTTTACCAAGTAGGATGAAAGAGTGAAAACAAGGAGGGAGAGTTATGTTATCATGTTTTACCGAAGGAAGTGAGAGGACGATGATGAAACACCTAACAACAATGTTTACCTCCCTAAAGAGATAAAGCATTACGCAACATTTGTATTTACTGAGTAGATGTTGTAGGCTGGGGGAATTGAATTTTCCTGCTAGTTTCTTTAGTGTTGGTTTGAGGGTTGAGGTTGTTCTGTGAGTGTGAAGGGCTGTAAAGGTCTGACAGTGAGACCCAGCTGTGTGTTGCTGTGTCAGATGGGAGCAATGAGAACTTGTACGCTCCATGACTCAGTAAGCCCGGCAGGCCCAGTAAATTCCAACAGCTTTCCTTCTGCAGGACCCAGCCCTCTCCTGACTCTCTCCTGTGCATTATAACAGCGATGAGACACGGTGAGAAATGGACGGTTCCACTACACGGAACACACAGAACACACATCCCCACGCCAACCACACGGTACACACACACAGTTACTGGTTACCATGGTGATTAAATACTTTCAGCGGAACCACCCCCATCCTGCTGCCTCACATCAACTCCATTTCGACTTACTTACATTACTGCGAGCCAGTTTAAATTTCTTTTTTCCCTCCCTATATTGTCCACACACATTTTATGAATGATCGGGCGAATTAGAGAGTATAGAGAGAAGAGAGCATAAGATAGAGATATCAGACGATCGAGATATAGAGCATCGAGATAGAGAACGAGCGAGGATCTCTCTCTCTTCTCTCTTCCTCGCTTCTCCTCACTCATCTCGTCTCTCTCTCTCTCATCTCTCTCTCCGTCTCTACTCTCTGCTCTCTCTCTCTCTCTCCTCTCTCTCTCTCCTCTACTTCTCTCTCTCTTTCGCTTCTCCTCATCACTTCTCTCCTCCTCTTCTCTCTTATCATGATCTCTCTCGGTCTACCTCAAGTACCTCCATACCATACTACCTACATACATACCCTCCTTAAAACATCACCAGCCGACCTTACCTCAGACACAGACATACAACATAACATACATACATCACGACAACAGACAGACGACCAGACATACAATACAGACAATACAGACAAACATACAGACACATAGAACGACAGAAAACAGACAGACCAGACCAGAAATAAGACGAAGTACAAAGACAGAGCACGAAAGAGACTAAGACAGATCATCATAAAGACATTAAACAGAAGAGACAAGACTATACAAATACATACCTAATAACAGACCATACATACAATACATACAGACATCATATATATATATATATATATATCTCTCTCTCTATCTAATATATATATAGATCTCTATATATAATCTATCTCTCTCTATATATACATCTCTCTATCTCTATATCTTCTTATTATATCTCTCTCTATCTCTGCTCTCTATCGCTCTCCTAATCATCTACTCTCTCCTATTCTCTCTCTACTTCTCTCTTCGCTTGCTCTCTCGTGTCTCTCTTACTCTCTTCTCTCCTCCCGTCTCCTACCACAGCTCTCCCTTTTTTCCTTCTGGCCCTTGATCCTCTATTCATTCCTGACTGCGCGGATCAGCTTAAGTGCGCGCCTCCTCCGCTCATACTCGGCCACAGCACAAAGATCCCGTCCCTTCCGTTGACAAACCTCCTTTTCATTAGTCGTTTCTGGGGCAGAAACATATGAGTGGCCCTCCTTACCTACCCTCACCATTAACCCACATCCTTTTACTTTACTTCCCATAATGCAACCTACAGTGGAACCATCTCTCTTCCTCACCCCAATTCCAGAACCTTTATTAACAACAAACCAACCACTCTTCCTGAGATGGTTTTTAAATTATCCCACTTTCTTTTAATAACATGAAGCAAGCTAAATAACACCTGTTTACCACCATCACCAAAAGACGTTTGCTTTTTCCCTTTTTTCCCCCCTGTATCTACATTTTCCCCATTACCCTGGCCCTGGAAGTTAACCGCTGATCCCATGCCTCACTCCTGGGGTCTCATAATGATTTTACATTCACAATTTTTAGAGTCATTTAGCAGAGCTTCTTAGTTCTAGAGCCGGACTTCACATTAGTGAGTCCAATACATTTTTTTTTCAATGTAACAGACTTCCAACACCGACAAACCTCACCTCCCCCTCCAACACAGCCAACACCATCGGCAGCCACCTACCTTCAACCGCAATGCACCACCTCCCGCAAGTCCCGTCGTTGGCCGAAGTTCCCCCCGCATGACACTCCCCAAGCAACCCTAGCCCCTGCTTTCTCCCTTTAAGTGTATAGTTCTTTACTGTTCCGGTTTCACTCTTCCCTCTTGTCTCACTCGCGGGGTTTCCCGCCTCTCTAGGTTGTTCCTGGTTCCGGCAACACCCAGGCTGTCTCCTCTTCACTTACCCGCCTGACGGGCTTTACATTGTTTCAAAGCCAGTCAGGAAGTCTATGAAAAGTCTCTGTGGCCAAACATCACTCTCAGACCGTTTGTGTTCTGACACATTGGACGTGAACGAACTGAAGCGCGAGTGGAAAACCTGGACAGGCTCTGGAGTTATCTGATGAGACGCTAAAGAAGATTCATTCTAAATTCATTTTGTTATACATACCGTTCAACATCCAGCGTCGATCCTTGATGTAAAAACCCTCTTTCCTTGTGCTTAAATAAAGAGTTAAATCCTAGCTTACAGCAGTATCCCATGTTCCTAACTATACATGACAACCACATCAGCATTTCCTATCCTGGTTGAACTGGACTCATCTTTGACTCCTACTTCCTGTGGCCGTGCATCCTGCCCCTGTTAGGGACCCTATATAAGGGAAGGAGAGAGGGAGCCAACGTGTCTCAGAGATAAGCAGTTGCACAACAAAGAGTGAGTGATAGTCTCACATAGACCCATCCCATTAAAATAATCTTGAAACAACAGGATGCAAGCCAGTCTGGGGGAACCTGGGATGAATGTGAGGTATATCCTATCTATGCTATACACTGAGTGTAAAAAACATTAAGAACACCTATTATTGAGTTGCACCTCCTTTTGCCCTCAGAACAGCCTCAATTCGTCAGGGCATGGACTACAAGTTGTTGAAATCATTCCACAGGGATGCTGGCCCATGTTGAATCTAATGATTCCCACAGTTGTGTCAAGTTGGCTGGATGTCCTTTGGGTGATGGACCATTCTTAATACACACGGGAAACTGTTGAGCGTGAAAAACCCAGCAGCGTTGCAGTTCTTGACACACTGGCACCTACTACCATACCCCGTTCAAAGACACTTAAATATTTTGTCTTGCCCATTCACCCTCTGAATGGCACACATACACAATCCATGTCTCAATTGTCTCGAGGCTTAAAAATCCTTCTATAACCTGTCTCCTCCACTTAATCTACACTGATTGAAGTGGATTTAAAAGGTGACATCAATAAGGGATCACAGCTTTCACCTGGATTCCCCTGGTCAGGTGTCCCTAATGTTTTGTACACTCAGTGTATATATCTATGCTTGGGATGATTTACTTGACTTCAGTATTATCACAGAGTCAGTCACAGTGGATCCACCACACAACTTTCCCAGCACTCTATCTGTCCGTCGGTTTCCCTTTCCTTTCCTGTTCTTCCAATGTGTCTTAACTTGATGACTGAGGGTCAACTTGAAAGTATTATGACTCCTACTGAGTCAAGGCCCATTCTAATGTATTATTGAGACTCATCTTCAGGGGAAACGCATGAGACATTGTAGAAGAGCTATTAGGTGAATGGCAGTGACCAGAAAGAAGGAACTTACTAAAACTAAATCACCATACTGTGTATCGACCATGCGACGTGAGCAGGAAAAACTCTGGGGCTTATTTTATAGTTATAGATACCATGCCATAGTAGATACATGCCATGCCTAATAACACAGTAATCGTACAGAGTGGAAAGAACCCTGTATATTTCCACATGGCTAGTCAGTCAATACCTCCTTCCCCCTCCTCAGTCCTCAGTAACAATAATCATCCAGGCTGTTCACTGAGGTGGGTAAGACAGTGTTTTACTCGCAGGGCTGTGGCGGTTCTACAGTGGATATTAATTTAGAACTAAATGAGTAATGACAGCGAGCAAGGGGCCGGTGATCCCATATAATCAGGAAGAATTATTCAGGTAGAGAGGGGGAAAACAGAAGGAGAGAGTGAGGGAGCGCAGCAAAGTGAAAACCACCCCTACAGTATGTTTCTCCTCACTTAGTCAGAGAACTGGCGTCAAGGCTTTAATTTGAACCTCAGACAGCCAGAGTGACGGAAAGATTAGTGGGTGGCTGCAGCTTTCAATGGTTACGACGACCTACAGTCCAGAAAACTGTTTTAAAGGAAGAGGGCTGAGACTTGCATTATGTTTAATCAGTTTAGTCCCTTAGAGCTGGTGTGTGAGAAAGAGAGAGAGAGAGAGAGAGAGAGAGAATTAGGGGGGGGTGAGAGAAAGAGAGAGAGAGAATTAGGGGGGTGAGAGAGAGAGATTATCATTAACAGCAGACTCGTACATTTCCTCAGTGAAAACAATGTGTACTGAGCAAATGTCAAATTGGCTTTTTACCAAATTACAGTACGACATACCGCGCATTCACCCTGCACACCCTAATTGACCCTAAAACCAAAACAAAAAGCGTTTGACTCAATTTGGCATGAGGGTCTACACAAATTAATGGAAAGCGGTGTTGGGGGAAAAACATACGTGGCCGTGGTGTGAGACAGGGATGCAGTTTGAGCCCCACCCTCTTCAACATATACAGTTGAAAAAGTATTTAGTCAGCCACCAATTGTGCAAGTTCTCCCACTTAAAAAGATGAGAGAGGCCTGTAATTTTCATCATAGGTACACGTCAACTATGACAGACAAATTGAGGAAAAAAACTCCAGAAAATCACATTGTAGGATTTTTTATGAATTTATTTGCAAATTATGGTGGAAAATAAGTATTTGGTCACCTACAAACAAGCAAGATTTCTGGCTCTCACAGACCTGTAACTTCTTCTTTAAGAGGCTCCTCTGTCCTCCACTCGTTACCTGTATTAATGGCACCTGTTTGAACTTGTTATCAGTATAAAAGACACCTGTCCACAACCTCAAACAGTCACACTCCAAACTCCACTATGGCCAAGACCAAAGAGCTGTCAAAGGACACCAGAAACAAAATTGTAGACCTGCACCAGGCTGGGAAGACTGAATCTGCAATAGGTATGCAGCTTGGTTTGAAGAAATCAACTGTGGGAGCAATTATTAGGAAATGGAAGACATACAAGACCACTGATAATCTCCCTCGATCTGGGGCTCCACGCAAGATCTCACCCCGTGGGGTCAAAATGATCACAAGAACGGTGAGCAAAAATCCCAGAACCACACGGGGGACCTAGTGAATGACCTGCAGAGAGCTGGGACCAAAGTAACAAAGCCTACCATCAGTAACACACTACGCCGCCAGGGACTCAAATCCTGCAGTGCCAGACGTGTCCCCCTGCTTAAGCCAGTACATGTCCAGGCCAGTCTGAAGTTTGCTAGAGTGCATTTGGATGATCCAGAAGAGGATTGGGAGAATGTCATATGGTCAGATGAAACCAAAATAGAACTTTTTGGTAAAAACTCAACTCGTCGTGTTTGGAGGACAAAGAATGCTGAGTTGCATCCAAAGAACACCATACCTACTGTGAAGCATGGGGGTAGAAACATCATGCTTTGGGGCTGTTTTTCTGCAAAGGGACCAGGACGACTGATCCGTGTAAAGGAAAGAATGAATGGGGCCATGTATAGTGAGATTTTGAGTGAAAACCTCCTTCCATCAGCAAGGGCATTGAAGATGAAACGTGGCTGGGTCTTTCAGCATGACAATGATCCCAAACACACCGCCCGGGCAACGAAGGAGTGGCTTCGTAAGAAGCATTTCAAGGTCCTGGAGTGGCCTAGCCAGTCTCCAGATCTCAACCCCATAGAAAATGTTTGGAGGGAGTTGAAAGTCCGTGTTGCCCAGCGACAGCCCCAAAACATCACTGCTCTAGAGGAGATCTGCATGGAGGAATGGGCCAAAATACCAGCAACAGTGTGTGAAAACCTTGTGAAGACTTACAGAAAATGTTTGACCTGTGTCATTGCCAACAAAGGGTATATAACAAAGTATTGAGAAACTTTTGTTATTGACCAAATATTTATTTTCCACCATAATTTGCAAATAATTCATAAAAAATCCTATAATGTGATTTTCTGGATTTTCTTTTTCTCATTTTGTCTGTCATAGTTGACGTGTACCTATGATGAAAATTACAGGCCTCTCTCATCTTTTTAAGTGGGAGAACTTGCACAATTGTAGGCTGACTAAATACTTTTTTTCCCCACTTTATATCAACGAATTGGCGAGGGCACTAGAACAGTCTGCAGCACCCGGCCTCACCGTACTAGAATCTGAAGTCAACTGCCTACTGTTTGCTGATGATCTGGTGCTTCTGTCCCAAACCAAGGTGGGCCTACAGCAGCACCTAGATCTTCTGAACAGATTCTGTCAGACCTGGGCCCAGGCAGTAAATCTCAGTAAGAGAAAAATTATGGTGTTCCAAAAAAGGTCCAGTTGCCAGGACCACAAATACGAATTCCATCTAGACACCGTTGCCCTAGAGCACACAAAAAACTATACCTTGGCCTAAACATCAACGCCACATGTAACTTCCACAAAGCTGTGAACGATCTGAGAGACAAGGCAAGAAGGGCCTTCTACGCCATCAAAAGGAACATAAAATTCAACATACCAATTAGGATCTGGCAAAAAATACTTGAATCAGTTATAGATCCCATTGCCCTTTATGTTTGTGTGGTCTGGGGTCCACTGACCAACCAATCATTTACAAACTGGGACAAACACTAAATTGAGACTCTGCATGCAGAATTCTGCAAAAGTTCCTCTGTGTACAACGTAAAACACCAAATGATGCATGCAGAGCAGAATTAGGCCGATACCCGCTAATGATCAAAATCCAGAAAAGAGACGTTCAATTCTACAACCAACTAAAAGGAAGCGATTCCCAAACCTTCCATAACAAAGCCATCACCTACAGAGGGATTAAGATGGAGATGAGTCCCCTAAGCAAGCTGGTACCCGGGCTCTGTTAACAAACACAAACAGACCCCACAGAGCCCCAGGACAGCAACACAATTAGACCCAACCAAATCATGAGAAAACAAAAATATAATTACTTACAAAAATAATCTACAAAAAAACAGAGCAAACTAGATTGCTATTTGGCCCTAAACAGAGAGTACACAGTGGCAGAATACCTGACCACTGTGATTGAACCAAAATTAAGAAAAGCTTTGACTATCTACAGACTCAGTGAGCATAGCCTTGCTATTGAGAGAGGCTCTCAAGAGAAGACAGGCTATGTGCACGCTGCCCACAAAATGAGGTTGAAACTGAGCTGCACTTCCTAACCTCCTGCCAAATGTATGGCTATATTAGAGACAAATATTTCCTTCAGATTACACAAATCCAATTTTGATAAGCGAGAGGGAGAGGGGAGAGGGGGGAGAAGAGAGGGGGAGAGAGAGAGGGGGAGAGAGAGGGGGAGAGAGAGGGGGGATAGAGAGAAGAGAGAGAGAGAGATGATCGAGAGAAGGAATAGGCTGCGATAGACGACCTCTCTCTCTCTAACTCAGCATCGTCTCCTCGAGCTCTTGCTCTCTTACTCTCGTCTCTTCTCTCCGCGATCTCTCCTCTCGCTTCTCTGCTCCCTACTATCTGCTCTCTGCTCGCTCTTGGAAACTCTGCTCGAGTATTCTCGTCTCTCGTTCTCCTTTCTCTTCTTTCTCCTATCTTGTCTCCTTTCTGTTACTTCCTTCTTCTCTCGTCTCCTAGAGGTGGAGAGTTCGTATGGGGAGCGAACGTCTGCCAGACAGCCACTCTCTAGGCCTTAGCTCAGCTTAATATACCTCTGCTTTTGAAGTACTGTCCAAACTGCCAACCAACTAATGGGAGCGTGCAGATGAGATTATATGTTGTCGATGAGAGTGACAGACGGATCTGTCTGGGGAGTAGGTCAGTCAGGTCTGAGAGAGCTGTTGAGCCTGTCAAACTGTCTGCATCACAGGCAGTCCACATAAAATAATACACAAATCTGTTTTGTATTGAAAGCTAAACTGATGACCAAACTCATCTTTCCAACCAAATGAAATGTAGGCCGTCATTGTAAATAATAATTTGTTCTTAACTGACTTGCCTAGTTAAATAAAGGTTAAACAAAAAATAACGCGCAGGTTGCCATTTATTGACACGACTCATGTACTGGAGGCAGCTCTGCAGAGTGGTCACTAACTGGCACAGCCACAAAGTAATACAATCTGATTTTAAACCTCACCCTAACCTTAACCCTAACCTTAACCACACTGTTAACCATAATGCCTAACCCTAAATGAAGACCAAAAAGCACATGTTTGTTTTCATGAATTTTTATGATATAGCCAATTTTTACTTTGCAGCTGGCCCATCTAGCGGAAAAACAGCTGAGTTCTGCCTCCAGGGCAAGACTCATGACAATAAACGTCAACCTACGAAGAATAATATATAATAATAATATGCCATTTAGCAGACGCTTTTATCCAAAGCGACTTACAGTCATGCGTGCATACATTTTTTTTTTGTGTATGGGTGGTCCCGGGGATCGAACCCACTACCTTAGCGTTACAAGCGCCGTGCTCTACCAGCTGAGCTACAGAGGACCATGAAGAACACACTGCTCTATAAGTATGTTTACATAGTCATCTAAACACAACTCTGTCACAACATCAGTCCCTCCCACGTCATCCACTGGCTAACACACTGAGCCAACTGAACCAGTGTCATATAAGCAACAATCCAAACTAAATACCATTAAATAAACCTGTTACATTACATATACACTACACACTTGGCACAGGCCCTAGAATCATACACACACACACACCATGAGCTAATGCTCCCTGCAAGATGGCCTTGGGGCGGCTGTTGAAATGTTAACATCCTTTAACACCTCACATTGTTGTGCTCTGGGACCTGACATCAGACCCTTCCCACGGTGATGTCACTTTCAAGTGTAGTGGAGTGTGTGTAGGTGTGTGTGTCTGTATGTAGGATTGTGCGTGTGTGTATGTGTGTAAGGTAAAGCTCTGTTCAGTCACAGAGTGGTAAAGCCCTCCAATGCCCACTAGCAACATACAGCTCTCAACGTGGCCTTTTGTCACTGGTCTATTTTAGAAAGTTGAAGGTCTCTGCCCTGGTGGCATTGTCCTGCTTAAATACCAGGCTTCCTGTCTTAGTGTTAACCCTGCAGCCTGTAGTACCCATTTCCTTTCACTGTCTCACAGTCACACACAGTCACGGTATTAGGTACACTGTAAATGGGTTGACCTGAATTTGACAGAGAAAGAGGGAGCTCGGTGGAGAGGAAAATTCTGTATTTCATATTACAGTACACCTACTGTAATATACAGTGCTTTCAGAAAGTATTCACACCCCTTGACTCTTTCCACATTTTGTTGCATTATAGCCTGAATTTAAAATGGATTAAATTTAGATTTTATGTCACTGGTATACATACACACAACACCCCATAATGTCAAAGTAGAATTATGTTTTCAAAAATGTGTACAAATTAATAGAAAATGTAAAGCTGAAATATCTTGAGAAAATAAGTATTCAATTGTTATGGCAAGCCTAAATAAGTTCAGGAGTAAAAATGTGCAATAATAGTGTTTAACCTGATTTTTGAATGACTATCTCCTCTCCTGTACTCCACACATACATATCCCTTTGAGCACGGTGAAGTTATTAAAATCCTTAAGAGTCTATTGACGCACCCGTGGATCAATCTAAGTAATATAATAAAAAAATCCCCATCAAAATCCCTCAGTTTAAGCTAGAGAAATCAGCTTAAAACCACCTACAGTGGGGGGAAAAAAGTATTTAGTCAGCCAACAATTGTGCAAGTTCTCCCACTTAAAAAGATGAGAGAGGCCTGTAATTTTCATCATAGGTACACGTCAACTATGACAGACAAAATGAGAAAAATAATCCAGAAAATCCCATTGTAGGATTTTTAATGAATTTATTTGCAAATTATGGTGGAAAATAAGTATTTGGTCAATAACAAAAGTTTCTCAATACTTTGTTATATACCCTTTGTTGGCAATGACACAGGTCAAACGTTTTCTGTAAGTCTTCACAAGGTTTTCACACACTGTTGCTGGTATTTTGGCCCATTCCTCCATGCAGATCTCCTCTAGAGCAGTGATGTTTTGGGGCTGTCGCTGGGCAACATGGACTTTCAACTCCCTCCAAATATTTTCTATAGGGTTGAGATCTGGAGACTGGCTAGGCCACTCCAGGACCTTGAAATGCTTCTTACGAAGCCACTCCTTCGTTGCCCGGGCGGTGTGTTTGGGATCATTGTCATGCTGAAAGACCCAGCCACGTTTCATCTTCAATGCCCTTGCTGATGGAAGGAGGTTTTCACTCAAAATCTCACGATACATGGCCCCATTCATTCTTTCCTTTACACAGATCAGTCGTCCTGGTCCGTGTAAAACAGCCCCAAAGCATGATGTTTCTACCCCCATGCTTCACAGTAGGTATGGTGTTCTTTGGATGCAACTCAGCATTCTTTGTCCTCCAAACACGACGAGTTGAGTTTTTACCAAAATGTTCTGTTTTGGTTTCATCTGACCATATGACATTCTCCCAATCCTCTTCTGGATCATCCAAATGCACTCTAGCAAACTTCAGATGGGCCTGGACATGTACTGGCTTAAGCAGGGGGACACGTCTGGCACTGCAGGATTTGAGTCCCTGGCGGCGTAGTGTGTTACTGATGGTAGGCTTTGTTACTTTGGTCCCAGTTCTCTGCAGGTCATTCACTAGGTCCCCCCGTGTGGTTCTGGGATTTTTGCTCACCGTTCTTATGATCATTTTGACCCCACGGGTGAGATCTTGCTTGGAGCCCCAGATCGAGTTAGATTATCAGTGGTCTTGTATGTCTTCCATTTCCTAATAATTGCTCCCACAGTTGATTTCTTCAAACCAAGCTGCTTACCTATTGTAGATTCAGTCTTCCCAGCCTGGTGCAGGTCTACAATTTTGTTTCTGGTGTCCTTTGACAGCTCTTTGGTCTTGGCCATAGTGGAGTTTGGAGTGTGACTGTTTGAGGTTGTGGACAGGTGTCTTTTATACTGATAACAAGTTCAAACAGGTGCCATTAATACAGGTAACGAGTGGAGGACAGAGGAGCCTCTTAAATAAGAAGTTACAGGTCTGTGAGAGCCAGAAATCTTGCTTGTTTGTAGGTGACCAAATACTTATTTTCCACCATAATTTGCAAATAAATTCATTAAAAATCCTACAATGTGATTTTCTGGAGAAAAAAAATCTCAATTTGTCTGTCATAGTTGACGTGTACCTATGATGAAAATTACAGGCCTCTCATCTTTTTAAGTGGGAGAACTTGCACAATTGACTAAATACAATTGACTAAATACTTTTTTTCCCCACTGTATGTCGGCCTTCCACATCTGCGGTGGAAGGTGGGCGAGCTACAGTGGTGTTTGTCAGACCATGAGTGTCAGAACGGCGACAGTGAAATGCGGTAGGCGAAGTCACACGCAGGACACAGAGCTACTGGAAACCGTACTTTAATAAAAGTCTCCAAACAACGGAGAAAACTAACAACCCGCACACTGCCGATGACACAAACAACAAACAAACGATACGTGAAGTCCTAGGTTACACAAAACAAACCTTTACGGAACAAGATCCCACACCGACTAGTGCCAAACAGGCTGCCTAAGTATGGTCCCCAATCAGAGACAACGAGATACAGCTGCCTCTGATTGGGAACCACCCTGGCCAACATAGATCTAAACGATCTAGTACATCAGCATAGAAAATATAACACAGAAACTACACACTCTGGCTCAACATTTCAGAGTCCCCAGAGCCAGGGCGTGACAATGAGACATCCCGAAAATGTGTCTTCTCACGAAAACGTCTGTAGTGTCCGAACGGTTTGGCCTAAAAACTATTATGACCACTCTGTGGAAAGTCACGAACATGTTCTCCGTTTTGCTCTACGACCCCCATAAGTGTCATGGGACTCGTCTGAAGGTAACCCATGGAAATATGGACATAGTTTTGTGCAAACAAAAATAAGGGGTTAAATATGTGTCCAAAAAGCCAAAAATTCTTCCTGAGCTTTCTTATATCTCAAAACCTTATTCCTTTTGATTTATTTGATTTTGTATTTTTTGGTCATTTATGAATATGTTTTTAATGCGTTTTTATGATCTATAGTAGTAAAGGCCAAATTCAATATTTTATCAAATTTTTTTAAAATATATTTTGGTTGATACCTTAAGACTTTTAGAGGTTTTAATGACACTTTGGATGGTGTTATCAATACACCCAGTCACTACAAAGATGAAAAGAAATGGAAATACGGTATCAAAGCATTTTACATTACCGTAAAAATTGACTGTATTATATTGTAAAGAAGTAAATGCTACTGTAATTGGAATTTAAATATGAATGAATGAATGAGTGAGGAGAGGGGTTTGTATTTCACAGTATTTTACTGTAATTACAAGCGATTGGCGCAAGCAGGTTGGCTGCTTGATAAAGTGTTTACACATTACAGCATATTAATGAATATTTGGTGTTTTATATCACTTGCACTTATAGAGGCCTTAACAAAGGCTTCCAAACTGGCAGCGACTACAGGACAAAACAGACCAAAAGGACATGGCAAAATGCTCAACCATTTAAAGGTACAATATGCAGAAATCGCTCTTCCATTTCTTAGTTGCTAAAATTGTAATAGTTTGCCTAATTGTGTAGAGAATCATTGTACCATCTAAACCGCTGTGAAATATATTTTCAATAACCAGAAATATTATATTTTCAGCTATTTAAAGCTGGTGCACAAAACTGAAAGTAAAAGACGCAAAAACAAAACTTAAGAACGGGAAGCGTAGAAATAGCGCACATAGAACAAATCTACCGCTTCTTAGACTTGCTGTGGCCCCGTGTAGCTCAGTTGGTAGAGCATGGCGCTTGCAACGCCAGGGTTGTGGGTTCGATTCCCATGGGGGGCCAGTATGAAAATGTATGCACTCACTAACTGTAAGTCGCTCTGGATAAGAGCGTCTAGTAAAATGCGAATGACAGATCTATAACTCACATTTTTATGTTAATTGGTCAGGTAGCCTAAAAAGTTACATATTGCAGCTTTAAGACTTGCTGCCACTCTAATCTGTCCCCTATACTTTTTAAATTGATGGGGCACTAGGAGTTAAAATGGTACAGCATTCTCACTCACGGGTGCAACAAATATAGCCTCTTACAAGGCACACCTCAAAATATGTTAATGAGCCAGAAACAACAATACCATGCACCCACTAGTGCTCAAAAGGTTTTTGGCACTCCAAAGATACGGTACGGCACTGTTTTCAATTAACATAACCTATTCCAAGGCTGGGGTTGGAATTACAGTACCATTCTAAATACAGCAATTTTCCCACAATGCCCCATCATTTACAGTATGCTGCAGTTAAACATTTCAGAGTTTTTTACTGTTGATAATACGCAAAATTACAGTATAAATTATAGTTTTCTGTTACAGTGTATTCTTAACTGACGCCACCTTTACTGAGTTCAGTGCAAGGAAGAATAAGTATTCGTAGATTTGTTTTAGAACAGCAGACAGTCACCAAATGTTGAACACAGAGAAACAGACACGGAGTGGGAGAGAGAGTGAGAGAGAGATCTTTGTGTGTGTGTGTGTGTGTGTCTGTGTGTGTGTATTTGTGTGCGTGTGACCTGCATCGACTAACCTTCATCCCAGTGGTCTCCGTTGTGATCTTCACTGGGTACGTTACTGTCACAGTCGGCCCCGTCTGCCATACTCCCGTCCTCCTCCACGATGTGCAGCTTGTCCTCATCATCTGAGTCTGAGCCAGGGGTCTTCACCACATTACTGTAGTTGGTTACTGCAGAGAGAGAGCGGGGTTGGTCATTTCACTGCCTATCAACGATTACTATTATATTAATAATGACTTATTATATAAGTGAGGCGCGATTTAAGACAAGGACGATGGAAGGTGCTGTATTAGATGGGAGAATGGTCTCCAGTCTTGGAATATAGTCAGTCATGCCAGCAGTTCAGACAAATCTGGTCAGAAAATAGGCCAACAAATCAAATAAAGGCTAATGCCAAAGCACTTCATTACTATCAAGCAAGGAAACAGAGCACACCTAAATTGTGTCTTCTTGACACAAAAAAACAGAAAGGCTTTTCTCAAACCACCTCTCTAAATTCAGTCTTTTCTCCTGGAGGTGCTCAAAGCCAGTGAACATTCCATTCCAGCGTTAGTTTACACAAAGGAATGAGAGATAAAGGGAAATGTGTATTTGCATGTGTGTACTATTGAGCTTGGGACATGGGACTAATCACACTTCATATGTCCTCTCATAATTTTAACCTGTTTCTCCATCTCTCGCTCTCTCTCTCTCTGTCTCTGTCTCTCTCTCTCTCTCTCTATTCCACCTGTGGTAACCCTGTCTTTCTCTCTCGCTCCCTCTCTCCATCTCTTTGTTCCCCAGCTCACAGCACTGTGCCTCTCTCAAGACAAATCAATTATCCTCTGAGAGGTGCCCAGTCAGCAGTGGGTTCAAGCTGCAGGGCTGAAACGCAGATCACAAACCTACACCCACATCACACACACTACACACAACCACACACTCCCTCCCCAGACCACACTCTGTCCGTATCACCCATATTAAGCTGCTTTGGTGCTTCTCTCTTTCCTGACCCCCACCGCGCTATCTCTCTCTCTCTATCTCTCTCTCTAGCCGTTCGCGCTCCTATATCTAGCTCGGATATTATCTCATCTATCCTATATCGAGGGCTCTATCTCTCATGATCGATGCATCCTCTCTACTCTGATTCGCTCTCTCTATCTCTTCTCTCTCTCTCTCTCTCTCTTTCTGGAGCATAGTGGTGGGGAATGATAATGTTTCTGTGAGACGTGGCAGCCTGTGGCTGGGGAATGATCTTCTGTTAGAATCTACAAGAATAGTTCTGCAGAGCTGACTGAGAATCACGGGGAGGTTAGGTTTCTGCATTGAGTACACCTGGTTGATATTCACAGAGACTCCCCATAGGGACTCACACAGCTCAGGAAAAGGGGGGGGGGGTGCGGGGCGCGGTAGGGAGTGCACTTGGGGGGGGCCGGGAGCGGACGGGGGGAGAGGGGGCGGGTAGCTTGCCTGGGGAGGGAGGGGGAGGGGGGAGTGGGAGGGGGTATGAAGGAGACGGTGGAGTGGTGGGAAGGTGGGGCTGGAAGGGGTGGTGAGGAATAGGGTCCGTTGGCGTAGGGGAGGGGAGGGAGTCTCTTACCTACCGGGGGGGGATGAAGCGTGTGGGGAGGGGGCTGGGGTAGTCGGAAGGGAAAATGGGGAGGGGGTGGGAATATGTGGCTCGATGGCGGGGGGGGGGGAGGTAGGGGCTGTGTGATTATTAGGGGATGTGGATGTTATATGGAGGGGGGGGGAGGGGCGGGCGGCTTGTTATATGGACGTTTTCCCAGGGGTCAAACACGGCCTCTCTTTCTGCATCTGCGAATTCCCAGCTAGGGAAAGGGAGAAGGGGGATTACCTAGTCAGATTGCACAAAATGTGTCTTCCTCATTTAACCAACCCCTCTGAATCAGAGAGGTGCGGGGGGCTGCCTTAATCGACATTCATGTCATCGGCACCCGGGGAGCAGTTGTTGTTGGGGGTTAACTGCCTTGCTCAAGGGCAGAACGGCAGATTTTTCCACCTTGCCGGCTCTGAGATTCGAACCAGCAACCTTTTGGTTACTGGCCAAAAACAAGCGCTTGAAGAGAAGCATCAGAAAGGGGAGAAGAAAAGAAAGAGAGAGCGAGAGCGCTGAAGAGCTAGAAGCCCCGGCAAGATCTCCTATGTAGATATCCCCTTCATCGTTCCCTATGATCTAAATCCCCCATCCTCCAAAACTCTCCTTTTTCTCTACCTCTCCCTCCCTCTCTCCCTCTCCCCATCCTGTCAGGCTTAGTCAGGTGATGTATAGACCCTTTGGCTGGAGTAGCAGAAGCGCTGAGTGACTCTTCAATCTCAAACAAAAGGCACTAATTTAAAGCCCCAAGAGGCTGTTTAGGGCCATAGTCACAGAGGTACAGGTGCTAAAGTCAGCAATAAAAACACAGGAGAAGCACTGAGAATGGATCGAGTTTTCTCAGAGAAATGACAGACCGCAAGTCACCACATCACAAAGCAGTTCGATGTTGGTAGTGAGAAAAAGGAAAAATCCCCACTAGACACAGCAGCCATGTTTGTTAGTTTCACCTCAAAACTGACAGAGTAAATGGATGGAACATAGACTTATATAGGGATGGGCAGACACTGACCCTAGGCTAAACAGGAAGTGAATTCCTCTGAGCCAAATGGTCAGTGTTACTAGCCTAGAGCGTGTTTCTAACAGCAGTAGGTAGGTAACACCTAGGGAAAACAAATATACAGCAGAAGTCCCTCTCCCTCCTCTCCGCTCTGCAGGCTCCTGATCTGCTGATCGTTTAGACAGTTGTGTTTATTAGCACTAGCATGCTAACAGACAACAGGACTCATCTGAGGCTCTACCACGTTTAACTTAGAACCACAAAGAAAATTATTTTTACAGTCCCCTTTACTCTGTATCTTCCAAATACAGAACCAGCTGGACATTTGTTCTACAGAGACTTGGATAACACCAACCATTACACAACACCTTTACAACGTTCACGCGCCTTTCTGCTGTACTGACCACCAGTCAGGTATCAGACCAACATTTTTTAATTGCGTGTCCCTTATGGTACCCTATTCTCTATATAGTGCACTTATTTTGACCAGAGCCCTATAGTAGTCCACAGGGTGCCATTTGGATGCCGCCAAAAAACTCTGATAAAGCCTTTCTTCCCAGAATCTCTGTGAAGCACCTATTTAAAGCATGCCGATGCCAGCCCTGCCCAGCCTATTCCCCATACATACTGTAACATACCCCTTGGTACTCAGAAACCCTGTTGTGACACGTGCCAAACTGAGTCAATAAAAGCCTGTAAAACGAGTGCGGGGCAATCCTTTGGGGATCACCTCACCATGCTCTAACTGACACCCTCACAAGCCCTTGCAACCTTATTGTAGCACGATCATTTCAACAGACTTACACATTCTGATATGATGTTATGTCACAGGTTTATTTTCTTAACTCTATGATGGACAGTCAGTAGGCCTACCCACCTAGGCCAGTCTCTAGAGAGGATGTTAGGAAGGAACAGTCTGGGGATGAACCAGTTGTGATTTCAAACAATACACGCATCAATACATTCTACAATACAGTAGTGGAGTTGATTCCTATTGGAAAATACTGTGTAAGAAATGGAAACCAAGTGTAAAGAAAGTATTTGGATGAATGCAGAAACCTACAGTGCTACACATACATACTGTACTTTGGTGTCTGAACTATGCCTGGAATGTCCAACCAAAACACCTCCACAGTGTTAGGGCCTTAAAGAGACAGATCTGAGGGTGTGTGTGTGTCTCTCTCTCTGTACTAATCCTCTGCATTCATCCTGAACACTAAGCCGTGTTGCGTTCAGAGCCCTTTGTTACAGCATTGTGTGAGTGTGTGTGTGTGTGTGTGTGAGTGTGTGTGTGTGACGCTGAGCAGTGTTAAGTGTGTGATTGGAGAGGTTACGTCCTGCTGTAGCCGTGATTGCACACCTCTAAATTGAACCTGCTAGGATACACGGTCCTCTTGCTGAGGTACACCACTTATCTTCACACACACACACACACACAAAATTAGGTACCAAAATTAGGTCCAATTTATCTCACACAGGCCACGCAGTTACACAGGGCAGCCAGGCAGCCAACGGACGGTGAAAATACCACAGGCATCCCCCTCTAAAGAAGAGAACAGACCAGCGCCGTCACAGAGTCTGCTGCGGGGTGAGGTATTTTGCTTTCCTCACGGAACCCACGACAAAAGAACAAACCAAACTAAAACTAAGCCATGCCATTCAAAACCTCAAGTATGCAGACTCAAGGTGATACACCCTGTACTTGACTGAGGCAACGTTCCTGTTATTTAAAACAATACCACGCACTCCACATAAAGCCTAGCCAGGAAGGTTGTCTAAACAGTTTGAGTCACAAAACCAAATGTTTTTTTTTAAAGGCACCCTCTCACGAGCCTCAATTTCCGTCTTTCTCACGTTCACTACAATAGCTGAGGGAAACTAAACCAATGCAAATGCTTAGTTTGGTTCCATTCATTGATAATATGGTAATCTATGATCAGTTAGTCCTCCTTTATGAACTCTCATAGCCATGGCCCAGTGTATAGCTTCCTACCAGCTGTAGAGGGCACCAGGCTCTCAGGGTACTACTTCTCAGCCTAATACTCACCCATTCACCCACTTCACACAAGTATGGCTCTCCCAACCATATCAGAGCCCCAGACTCAGTGGAGATAGCCTGAGTGCAGTCATATCCTGCATCAGGTCTCTTCCCATGACTACACAACACAACACAGAAAGATTCATACAAGTCTGAATCACTATTCTAAGTTTAATATTAGCCCTAAAAAGAATAACCACCACGTTGCCATAATAGTAACACGAACACAAGGGGGCTTAAATCAAGAAGTGAATTTATTCAAATCTAAGAACTGCAGAGGGAGAGAGAGGGCTCTTCATATTCATCATGTGAGAAGTGAGGAGGCAAAGGCTCTTGTCATCTTAATGGTGCTAATCAGGTTTAGCATAGAAGCTAATGAGTCTCTCCACAGGTCACATCCTCTTCCTACAGTATCTCTTCAGGTAGAGTAGAGTGGAGGGCGCTACACCTATGCTACAGATGCTAATGGGGGTCATTGTTCTGTAGATCCATGTGACTTAAGAGGAGAACGGCTTCACAATAACTCCAGGAAATG